TTTTGGTTTTAAAAAATATAAAAAACATTTATCAGGCCAAAGAAATCCACCTCCCACTCCAATTTTTTTTTTTTTTTTTTTTGAGATGGAGTCTCGCTGTGTCACCCAGGCTGGAGTGCAGTGTTGTGATCTTGGCTCACGGCAAGCTCTGCCTCCCGGATTCATGCCACTCTCCTGCCTCAGCCTTCCGAGTAGCTGGGACTACAGGCACCCGCCACCACGCCCAGCTAATTTTTTTGTATTTTTAGTAGACGGGGTTTCACTATGTTAGCCAGGATGGTCTCGATCTCCTGACCTTGTGATCCACCTGCCTTGGCCTCCCAAAGTGCTGGGATTACAGGCATGAGCCACCACGCCTGGCCTCCATTTTTTTTTTAAATCAAATATGAGATTAGCTTTTCCCTACCTTTTCTCCTTCAATCTGTTAGTATGGCAACTACAGACTTTCTAATTTTAAGCCATCCTTGCATTCCTGGGATAAACCCAATTTGATGTCTTTTTCAAACATCACTGAACCTGATCTGATACTTTATTATTTTGCATCAATACAAATTAAATTTGTTAGTAATGTACTTTTGTCTGTTTTATCTAGATTATACTGATTTCATAAAATGACTTGGGAAATAAAATCAATTCATAAAATCAAAGAGAGACTTCTAAGACAACCATTGTTATGAGACAGATGTCGCTGGAAAAACCATTTGAAAAGCCATCCAGCAGACTGCCTCATCATCCATAGAGAACTCACTTCCTGCTTCCTGGTCTCTCAACTGCTTTTGATGTTTCAATTAAAACAAAAAACAAAAAAACAGTGTACAGTAACCTTTCTTTTTTTGAGATGAAGTCTCACTTTGTCACCCAGACTAGAGTGCAGTGGTATGATCTCAGTTCTTTACAACCTCTGCCTCCCAGGTTCAAGTGATTCTGCTGCCTCATCCTCCCCAGTAGCTGGGATTACATGCATACACCACCATGCCCAGGTAATCTTTCTATTTTTAGTAGAAATGAGGTTTCATCATGTTGGTCAGGCTAGTCTTGAACTCCTGACCTCAAGCCATCCACCCACCTTGGCCTCCCAAAGTGTTGGGATTACAGGCGTGAGCTACCGCACCTGGCCACACTAAGCTTTTTTTTTTTTTGAGGTGGTTTCACTCTTGTTGCCCAGGTTGGAGTGCAATGGCACAATCTTGGCTCACTGCAACCTCTGCCTCCCAGGTTCAAGTGATTCTCCTGCCTCAGTCTCCTGAGTAGCCGGGATTAAAGGCATGTGCCACCATGCCTGGTCAATTTTTTTATTTTTAGTAGAGATGGGGTTTCTTCATGTTGGTCAGGCTGGTCTCGAACTCCCGACCTCAGGTGATCTGCCTGCCTTGGCCTCCCAAAGTGCTGGGATTACAGGTTTGAGCCACTGTGCCCCACCCGCAGTAACCTTTTAATGAAAACACAGGGCTGGGCACAGTGGCTCACACCTGCAATCTCAGCACTTTGGGAGGTTAAGGTGGGAGGATTACTTGAGCACAGGAGTTTGAGACCAGTTGTGGCACGTCTGTAGTCTCAGCTACTCAGGAGGCTGAGATGGGAGGATCGCTTCAACCTTGGAAGTCAAGGCTGCCGTGAGCTGTAATTACACCATTATACTCCAGCCTGGGTGACCCTGTCTCAAGAAAAAAACAAAAAACAAACCAGCATCAAAAATGAACTGAAAGCCTGCCATTGTTTGTTGTTGCTGTTAACAGATGATGCAGGTATTCTGGTGATGCTACTTGTGTGGCTTAGTTATCCTGAACACATTTTTTCACTGTATTAATGGTATGTTCTATTTTTTACTGTTAAGTATTTATGTGTAAATGAACATAAAACAATGATTACTTATCGAAGCGCATAAATTCAAAGTCGGGAATGACAATGATGTTAAACAACCAGAGACTGTCTACATGAGTGGCTGTGATAATGACACCTTTGCCTTCTGAAGGTTCAATGTACACAAACTTTGTTTCATATAGAAAATTATTTAAAATATTTTATAAAGTTACCTTTAGGCTATGTGCATAGGTGGATATGAAACAGAAACTCTCTCTACTCTTGTTGACATTTAGGTTTTCATGGTGTGTCTAAAATCTACTTTGATATTAGGTGAAGCTACCATAGCTTTAGCTTGAGTGGATTTTGCATCATATTTTTCCTCATATTTTTACTGTCAGCTTCTCCATATACTTCTATTTCAGATGTATCTTTTTGTAAACATTATACAACCAGATTTCTCTTTTTAAAATCTAATCTTATAAATCCTGCTTTTAGCTAGTGAGTTTGCTCCATTTATATTAATTGTGCTTTGGATTCATTTCTACCATCTATGTCTTTTGGTTTAGAATTTATACTCACTATACAGTGAATAGCCTTGGCATTTTACAGTGAACCTAAAATCTAAAGTTAATACCTTAACATTCCAACAACAAAAAGACTACACAATACTGTGTAGCTCTGGTCTTCAGTATCCTGACTTTCCTCCTACTGCTATCTAGAATTTGTGCTCAGAAAAAACAAAAAAACTCAAAATCCAACAATTCCTTCTTTTATCTCTTTGGTTTATTTAGATTTACCTAGGTGTTTGCCATTTTACGTATCACAAACCTTTTTTTATCTTGTGTCACCCTTCTGGGATCATTCTTCTTCTTCTTCTTCAAGCACATTCTTCAGAATGTCCATTAGAGCAGCAAGCGTTCCCCTTTTAAAAAATATTATATGCCATAATTCTTATGAAAATAATTTTATTTTTATGTAATTCTAGGTTAACCTTTTTTCCCCCAACACTCTGAAGGTCATATTTCACTACTTCCATTGTTGCAATTGAGAGGTCAGCTGTTAGTCTTTCCTTTATAGACATTTAGTCCCTTTTCTCTGGATAGTAACAAGATGTTGTCTTTGGTGATCTGCCATTTCACAATGGTTCTATGTATACATTTATATTTACCCCGTTTGGAAAGTACTGTACAGCTTGGATATTTTTCATCTCCGAGAAACTTGCAGCCATTATGTCTTTAAATATTGCCTCTCATTCTTTCCTCTTGAGTCTCCATTCCATCTTCTGTATCTCTTAATCTCCCTTTTATATTTTCCATCTTCATTTGGGATTGATTTTTCAGTTTCCAATCTTCAGTTTTCTTCAACTGTCTAATCTGCTGTTTAATCTTTCCACTGAATTTCATATTAGAACAACTACATTTTTCATTTTTGGATTTTAAAAATGCTTAATTATGTTAAAATATTCATTTTACATGTTTATACTGATAGTTTTAGGTATGTAAATATATATAGCTATTTTATAACTTATATCTGGTAATTCTTTTTTTAAGATAGGGACTTGCTCTGTCGCCCAGGCTAAATACAATGCAGTGGCATAACAGCTCATTGTAGCCTTGACCTCCTGGGCTCAAGCAATCCTCTGACTTCAGTCTCCAAAGTAGCTGGGACTACAGGTGCACACCACCATACCTGGCTAATTTTTAGGTGCTTTTTTTTTTTTTTTTTTTGTAGAGATGGGGTCTCGCTGTGTTACCCAGGCTAGTCTCAAACTCCTAACCTCAAGCAATCTTCCTGCCTTCGCCTCCCAAAGTGTTGGAATTATAGGCATAAGCCATTGTGCCTGGCTGATAATTCTAATGTATGAAATCTCTAACAGGGATATCTAAATTTAAAATTTCTGTTGGTTCTTACTCAAGGTAACTTGCTGTCTCTCACAAGTGTTTAGGGATTTCTGACAGTGAATTACTTGATCTTAATCTGTGGAAATCTGATGGTCCCATCCTGGAGGAGCTTCCATCCACAGAATATTTCCTTCCACTGTCAGGCAAAGAGTGACATGCAAACTAAAATTTGAACTCGTCTACAGGATTTAAGCACAGAACATAAGTCCTGATGCTATTGCAAGGTTTGTTATCCTCAAAATTGTGTTGTTAGAGAAATCTATCCTTGGTAACCCCACTTCTCTTGGGTGCCTAAATTTTCAAAACCAGCTCCTTGCCATTGTGACTCCTACCTTTTCCAACTTCCTGCTGCTCTGCCATACTCTGTACACTCAGCTTCCAGTTCTCTCAATATTCCTACTTTTGTGCTTCAGCACTCTCACTCTAACTCTTAGGTGCTGAGGCCCTAACTTGTTCGGACTCTGCTCAAGTTTATTTGCTTGTTTTGGGGTGAAGGGTTGCCACAGACCACTCTTACCTTTAATGAGATTGGCAAAACCTCAAATTACATATCTTATTGATGGTCTTCCACTAATTTTATACGCGTATGCATACTATTATTTTTAATAACTTTAAAGCCTCTACCCATTATACTAATGTATAAAGCCAGTATCTCAGAAAAACCCTAGACCTCAAAAGATGGCTGGAAAGTAAGTAAGAATTCTAAATTTAAATTAAGATTATGATCTGTGGATTAGTATTTGCTTATTTGGATTTTTCATATTTACTCCAGTGGCTTTGGGAATACTGGTAGTACTTGCAAAAATCTTGTTAGACTTTAATCTATACGGCAGATTTACCAAGTCAATATATGACTGCAATTTCCATTATGTCCTCAATTTGTGTTACAGGGAGAGCATGCATCATTTTATATTTCTAAAATATTCCATTTGTAATTTTTAAATAAGATTACTATAAAATAACTAGTATTCTGTTTTATTCATTTGCTTTTCTGAGAAGCCAGGTCCTAAATTAAAGTAAGTTAACCTCAAACAAGAGAAAAGTATATACAATACTGGTGCTTGCATCTTAATATTAAAGCAGGCTGTTGTTCTTCATTCATCAACATTTTGTTGCTTTAAAAAAAACCTTCCTATTTTCAGTATCTATACACAGTAAGCAGTCCTTAAATATGTTTCAAATAAAAGATGCTACTGACCTTACAGGAGCAGAATACAAACTTTTTCCATTATTCCCAGTGAAGTGGACAATTTGCTCTGAATGTTCATGGTTTTAAGTCTTCCCTAGGACAAAAAGTACTTGCAAGAACGTTTACTCAAGTTAATTAGTCTTTGAGATTTTGAACACAGAAAAGTTAAAGTATATTTTAGTCATTAGGAAGTTTCTAAAAAGAAAGAATACTTAAAACCAAAGTTACAAATTTCAATCTAAATAGACTTTAATTTGTGCACTTGTGATAATTTATGACTGCAAAACACTTGTTTTCTTAGAATGACATAGTGAAAGGCACATTTCATTTGAATGCATAGTGTACCATTCTAAAATATCCTAATTTCTTTACAAAGTGCTTGAGCAGTCACATACACATACAGTAATAGCAAAATATATTTACACTCTATAAAGCTTAAAATTTTAAATCTGACTAAAATATATATATTTTTTAAACTACAAAAAATTAGTGCTTTCTTCAGCTTAATTGTGTAAATAGACCCTGCCCTCTAATTTTTTTAGTGATTGACTTCAATTAAAAAAAAATTCTGTACACTGTGTAGTTACAAAATGCTATGTCAGTTTTTAATGCTAAAAGCCTGTTTTAGACATTACTTTCTTTGCTATTTGAGAACCAAAAAAGTGAGCAGACTGTACCTCAAAAGTATTTAGTGTTTTATTTTAATGTTGTATTAACACTGTTTAAATTAAAGCCAGACAATTAAGCTAAGTTCCTCTACTGTCCTTTGCCAAGGAAGTTAACTGGCATTTAACAATAACTTTAAACCACATATTGTTCCCCCTTTCTATTAAGATTTTCTCCCAAAGAATCTTGGGTAATTAACAATTTGGAAGGTAATATAAATGATCTCTGGACAATTTTAATTGTTCTCAGAGTACAATGAAAAGATGCTAACACATCCCAGCAAATATTTATAAATGTTTTTAGCTCAACTCTCCATAAATCAGTGTGCTTCTTCATGTTTCTCATAAGATTTACACCTGAACAATTTTTAAGAGATGAGCTCACTGTGATTAAATAGTTAATTCAGTATGGTTACTTAACAGCTTGCTATTCCTGAGGTATAATGACCCTAACATGCTAAGCACAGGATCAAAGATGCTATTACTAAACTAAGAAAAAACAATAAAGTCATAGATTAGGAGAAAAAAATATAAAATCAAACCAAACCAAAACAAACAAAAAACTACAGGCAAATGGAAAGTCATGGTTTGCAAAAAGACAATCCTAGAAGAGTATAAAAAGCCACAGACGGATCCTTTGAAGAGTTGTATAAAATATTTGATCAAATTATTTTTGAGACTTTTGAGGTACAGCTTTAGTGTTATAATTAATTTTTTTATAAAATATAGACTGTTTTATCAAAAATATTTATACATTCTGTTACAATATATTGCTTTTGCCCTCAGTAACTGCCAATATAAAATCTGGATCCAGTGGCCTAAAATATACAAATGCACTTAATGTAAATGCTGGAGTTTGAGGTGTCTGCTTGGCCACTGTACAAAAGTGATGAAGTGGTAAAATTAAATAATAAGCCTACAACATAGAATACATTAAAACTTGCACATATACATGTTCACAGCATGTATACAATGATAATCTCTACGGTTTAACCAAGGTATAGTTCCCTTCTACAGCAGACACAAAACCAAGGTGAACTAGGTTGGCAGATGTAGAGTGAGTATCAAAAAAGGGGTAATCGGTTCACTGATTCTGGAAGATATGACTGAACATACTGAGCATCTAGACTTTGGGAATGCATACAGGTAACAATATCTTGGTTCAGCTGATTAAAAGTCCTCATTCTTAACATCTTAAGTAAATGCTGATCTTGTTTGTTTCAGCACTGTTTAATAAAAACAAAATTGTTTGGCAAGCAGCTCCGCTGGAAAGCTATAAGCCTCTGTTACATGGTTGATAAAAATAAGGCAATATAAAGTTTTCTCCTAATAAATATAGAACATTTATAAAATAAGACATCAATTCATTCTGTTTTTTTTAAAAGATCAAGCCCCAAATTGTATACAAACTGCTACGTTTTTTGATATTACAGTAATGTCTTTAAAAAAAAGAGCATTTGTCTTATTCAAACAGAATCATATTTTGTGTGAACAGTAATAGCATTCCAAGCCCTTTTTTACTTTTTGTAAAACATAGTTAAGTGATTAATTTTCCTTCTACTTAAGGCGGGCATATGGCAAAGCTAGGGACTATAAAAAAAAGTGGTTTTTTTTCTTTCTTTTTAAAAATAGACTATTGATCCAAAAGTATTTGTGATGGATTTTCATAGCCGATGTTCACTCAAACTCCATGAAACTGTTTCCAGTGCTCATATTTACGCTGAAGTACAATGAGAAGCCACTTTTCAAGAAGTATTAGAATGGTACTTTTCAACAAATCTTCACGTGTTTCAATTAAAAAAAAAAAAACAAAAAACTCAGAAGCTATTGGTGGCACAGAGAGCAAATGAAGGGTTGCTATTTTTAAGAGGTCTTCTTGTGAGTCAGTCAGCTTGATTTCGCAGTGTCTAGCAACTTAACACCAATCAGCAATGTAGTCAAAATCTCTGAACATTTCCTGCTCCTCTTCCGAAAGTATCCTAGGTTCTCGAGGTGGAGTCAGAATAGGTGCTTCTGAGGTAAATTCATCATCAAAATTACTAACATCTTCTCGTCCTCTTATGGTAGGTATAAATGGTGGCTTTACTTTTTTGTCCATCAGAGCGCTCCAATCAATTAGCTGGATCATAAAATACAAAATGACTAGTTTAGTTTGTTACATCTAATTGCTCTAGTTTAATAAAAAATTTTAAATAGTCACACTTACCCGGAAAAATGGGTGCTTTTTTACATCCTCTGCATCTTTCTCGCTAGCCCCAAGGCGCCGCTCAGGATTTCTTCTTAACAGCTAGCACAATGTAAAATAAAAAAGTTAAAATAAAATCAACAATAAAATTCACTGATAAAGATTATTTTTAAAAACTCAGATATATTTTGTCTAAGCCATGCAACATTTATGAACTGAAAAACAACTTCTAAAGTTCTACTGGGAAATTGTCTTTAATATAAAAAATTAAAGTAGTCTTAAAAAAATTCTTATCCTTAATTTAATTCTTACCCTTCTCATTATAGAAATGGCTTCTGTAGATAAGAACCTTGGATACCTTACTTCATCATTTACAATACTGTCAAAAACTTCCTCTTCATCATCACCAGGAAAGGGAGACTAGAAGAAATACCTTTAAGTAAGTTAAAGCAAGTTTTAAGGCAGTAAAATCTTATCACTTATTCAAAGTATAACCAAGATCCAGGCAGTGAAAAAGAAAAAAACAAACAAACAACAAACCCATGCCTACCAAAAAAACAACAACAACAAAAGAACTATAAGAAGTGACAATAGATATGTATCTATTACAGAGGGAATATACCATATACTCTTTCTGAAATCTTTAAATTGTATAGACCGTTAAAAAAACTTGTCTATCTCATATATGATATGGCTTTTCATTTCATTTCATTCCACTCCAGTCCATTTTATTTCATTCACTCAATCACCTATTTGGCCAGACAGTCAATTTTTAGAGTGTCTAACAGAAAGTAGGGAATATTTAGATAACAGAATCCTGAAGAACCTCAATCTTGTGGAAAGACAGAAGAAAATGGATAAGGTTAATATGGTAATAAATGTTATAGTAAAGGAAAGCAATCTGCGGAAATACATCAGATATAAATGTGCTTTGGATTTTAAAGTCAATAGTAAATTAATGGTGGTAAAACGCAATTAGAGATTAGTAGGCATAACGACCGTACTAAGCAGCTGCCAACAAAATTAGACTGAAAGGAACCCAAAAAGCACACATTGACAGGCATTTTTAATGCTCTAAACACAAAAAGTTTTAGGGCATTTCAATAAGCACAGTATTAAAATCATTTTTCATAATGACCCTGAGACATAAAAAAGTAGTTACATTATATTCAGTATGACAATTTGATTCACAAAGAGATAAACTTTCAACTATGCTGAAAACGTGTCTATCAGATGTGATTGCCTGCCTCAGAATTTCAGATGGCTTAAACATCACTCACTCATTTTAAAAATCAGGACACGAATGTCTAAATATCATTTGATTCCTTAAAATCACTGAAATGAATCAGTATCTTTAACCTTATTTTCTCACTGGCTATTGAAATATAGGCTTACTTAGCCTCGTTAGATTTGATTTGGCTGCTTGCTTCCAATTAAGTTTTAAAGAATAATAAGCAGAAAGCAATATCCAGGGAAAGTGAGCAATCTTTAAGGAATCTGTGAAGATAAATTCAGAATCCAGCTTAAGGCTGAGCTTCTAATCTTGCTCATAGCTAAGAAAATTTCAAAGCTTTCAGTTACCAAAACCTTAGTTTGTTCATTCACTCACTCAAAATACATAAATCAAATATACTACATGGGACAATGTAGTGCACTCAAAATACATAAATCAAATGTACTACATGGACAATCTAATTTCTTTTGGGGACTGAATCAGTAAGTCAGGAGAAAATTTTATTTTACTAAGATTCTCAATGGGAATTTCAATGGATAATACAAAGAGAGCACTTTTGTCTTCTGCTTGAACAATTTTTACTTGAAAACTCACTCTCCAAGTCTCAATAGCAAAGAAGTATCTATACATTTGTTAAAACGTGTAGTATCTTTTTTCTCAAATAGATTGTAAGCAAACAGGGCTAACAACAGAAAGCTAACAAATGTGTTTTAAGCACATTTAAAAGAAACCAATAGTCTGTTCAGATATCAACACTGATAGTATCTAAAACCATGTCCAGCATTACATTCAATCTCTCTGTTATCTTCACTCCCATCTGAGGCAGGAAAAAGGGGACTTGGGATATTTGTTTATTCCTGGAGTCTTTCCAGTAATCAAAACTAGTAGAAGTATACAAATTTGAGCATGTATGATATATCCAGCGAGTTTACAATTATTTGTAATAATAGAGAAATCTGACATAAACTTTAGCCACACCTTACGTTCATCATAGTTAAAAAGGAGTTACCACCAGCGTTTCATTAATGCTATAAAATTATGAAGTAGACTGATGAGTTTTAAGTTTAGTTCTTTTCCCAGCTACCCTCTTGTGGAGATACTAAAAAGAAATTGCAAGAAACAACTAAGAAATAGCCAGATCCACTGTCTTTTATCTTCTAGGTAATTAAGAGCTCAATCAATTAGCTCTCTTAAAAAATATGAAACAGGAGCTTCCTTGTTTTCTGTCAAACCCTCCAGTGGCTTTATAATGGGAGAGAGTAGATTCAACTGGCGATTAATTCTACAGTATTTTGTAATAAACTCATATTTTCCATATGTCATCTCTAATATGGAGAGTAAATTTTAAGCAAGCACATAATTGAATCTCATAAACTTCATACTTACTTGAATATTACACTAAACAAAACCAAAAAAAAAAAAACCAAAACCCCAAAATGTTACTTTTAAAATAAAGGAAGGGGGTGGGGAGAAGTTCAAGTATGCCAGAGCTTACAGAAGATTAACTATTTTATGAGAACTTCTGGCACTCTCAGACAGTAAAAGCCACTGTGGACTGGAGCTAAACTAAATCTTTCCAACCTAAACACTGCACAACAGCTTTTCTAAATAGAGGTGAAAAATTCAGATCTGGACCACTAGTCTTAAGAACAGAAACAAGGCTGGATGAATTGAAGATCCTATCCTGGAGCAGCAAAGCATAATGCTTTAGAGATATGTTCTGGAGCCAGAGCGACAAGGTTAAAATTTCCAGCTCCACCATATGAGAGCTGTGTGACCTTAAGCAACTCATTAATCTCTTTGTGTCTCTATTTACACCTCTGAAAATGGGCATAAGATCAGTACGGAGCTTATCAAAGGCTGTTGCAAAATTAAATGAATGAATATTTAAGGCACACAGAACAGTGCTTAGCTTAGGACATGATAAATTTTATTTTAATTAGCCATACTTCTCCTCCTTTTCCAAAGAATCTACTTCAAACTGACACACCAAAAGGGGCTATCCATCCGGAGAAACTAAAACCATTTATTTGTTTGGGGTAAGTGCCAATAAATGACAAGCATAGAACAAAACTTTAGAAATTTCTGATACTCAATTTGATAATTCATTCATTTAGCCACTAACTTCTTCAAACTTGTAAGTGTACAAGGGAGGTTGCTGGCATGGGGAAACTGCAGAATAATGAACCAATCCCTTAAAATAATTTTTCTTGCATCTCCAGTTTAAGTCCCTTCAAGTAATCTTTAATTACTTATTAAAAGATTTACTCTTTCCCAATTTCACCCCAATTCAACATTTCTAACAGTTTATAATATAATACATTATTAGTCTCCTATTATTGCCTTATTTAACATAATTCACTGTTTCCTAATGGTAATAATTTCTGTGTACAACTCAATTATCCTCAGAAATTTAAGTTAATCGACAGAAAACAGTAGGAAAAAATGCTAATCTTTTCAACTCTACCATTTTTGAAAGTAACTTTTCTTTCATTTTTTAAAATTATATTTTATTTAACAATCTAGGAAGTTCACAGCCAACAGCAGTTCTATTGCAACTTCAGGTGCAACTGGGAATTCAGGAATCTCGGTGGAGCTGTTAGTGTAGCGAACCTTGTACATAAAATACATGCATATTTTTGATAGCACATGTGAAGGTATCTCTCTAAAATTGACCTCATTGGTTTCATTCTCAGCAAACTGACCTGGGCCACTCAACATGGCTTTTATCATGCCTGATCAATGCACGTCCTGTTTTTACAACAAATTCATGGCCATCGGATGATATCAATCTGACATACATGGCATCAGGGCCTTCACAGCCACCATAGCTTTTCTCCTCTCCATTCATTTTGTTCCTATGAAATTCTACTTTACTTCCCCAGGAACTTCAGCTGTTTCCTGGTGAAGCAAGGATGCAGTGTGTGTTGCTCACTTCCGTCTAGAGGAAGTCGAAGGTAACATTTATTTCTGACCAATCTATAGTGGGCTTTTCTTTACACGTACAGAGTACATTTTTTTAATTAGTCTTTCTGTTATTCCATTCCCTATAAAATGACTATGTCTTAAAATCAGAAAACACATTCAAAGCACAACACTGAAATACAAGGAACTATTTTCAAAGCACTGATAATGCATTCCGCAAACCACATAAAAATCTTTATTGAAGGTATTACAGAAAGATAGCTGACTACTAGTATACTATAAATATTTATAAAACTTAAATTCCACTCATACTGAAGACAGTATTAGGTGGTTTTATAAATGACATGCTTTATTATTTCAATCATCCTTCCTCTTTTCTCTTACCTATTTTACACTGCTTACCTCACCAACAAGCATTTCATATATAAGTACGCCAAGGCCCCACCAATCTACAGCCCTTGTATAAGAAGTTTCTGTTAATACTTCTGGGGCAAGAAATTCAGGAGTGCCACAAAATGTGCTTGTTCTATCTCCATATCCCATTCCTGGAAAAGATAAAATTTAAACATTTGTTAGCAAAGAAAATAAATCTAGTATATAAAAAAAAATCAAAGCTATCTTTGGGAGGCAAAATTAAAGTTGCACATTTGTGCATGGCGAACAAATTCAGACATATTTAAGATATTTCAAGAAAACAATAAGGACTGGTACAGCAAAAACTGTAATAGCAACTATACTATCTAATTAATGGGTAAATAGAAATAAGATATCCATGTTTCTTTTCAGTTAATTTTTCTTCTTGTCATTACAAGGGAGCTAAGAAATTACAACAAAATGAACTGATTGTGAAGTTCTATCATCTTTCCAATTCAATCTTAAATAAGTTTATTTACTTTACTATAAGAACAACATTATAAAAAAATAACAGTTTGGAAAATACCAAAAATCAAACCCTTGGATAATCAGGAGCTAACCAAATGTGTCATATAATACAGACAGATAGGGCTGTGAGCGGTGGCTCATGCTTGTAATCACAGCATTTTGGGAGGTTGAGGTGGGTGGATCACCTGGGGTCAGGAGTTCAAGACCAGCCTGGCCTACATGGTGAAACCCGTCTCTACAAAA